TTTGACAAATAAATAACAACAAAGATATCATATAATAACAAATTGCTTACCGATTTGTTTTTATTAATCGTTTTTAACAATGAAATACAGGGATAAAGATTAATTTGATTCTGAACTGTGAAGAATGTATACCAATGAAAGTGACCTTCCTTTTGCAAGAAATGAGATTTTTATTTTTATTTTTGGTAAAGACACAAGATGAGATAAACAGTAAACACGCATCTATTAATCATGTTTGAAGAACCTAATTAATGTAGCTGTATTTAATGTGTTTTCTTCATGTTTTTCATGTTTCAAGAAACAAATTAAGTACTGTTAGTTATCATGTATTTTCAATACTCTACATATTGTGGTCCGTTCTATTTTGAATTGTTGTTATGTCTTTTTATTTATTTATTATTATTATTATTTCGTTCCAGTTTGGATATATATAAGATATTCAAATAGATTTCTTTATCATTTTAAAAGTTATATATGAAGTAAATTTCTGGAGTTATATGATACAAATACTGAGAACTAAATCACCGAAAATTGATCAATGAAATAATGAACAGAACAAGCAAACCAACTGAAAATGAGTTCTATTATAAAATTCAAGATTAAGTACTAGCATTCGAATTCACTTAAATTGTAACGAATCTCTTTTCATAAGTTTATTCAAAACAATATAATAAATGAAAATTGGCGTGTAACGTGCGATTGATGAAAAATGCAATAATATATTGAAAGAAATAGGATAATATAGAGTGTGTTAATATTGTCGGTGATGCATATTCCATGAAGCAAAAAATATGGACTAGACAGATGTGCAGCAAATTCTTGTAAATGGATTGCTGTATTTACATAAAATGAGAATCTTAAGAAAAAGGAAATGCTTTTTTTGTTTTTTCCTTTTTTTCTTTTCAGTGAATAAGAAAAAGAAAAAGGCATGACACCCTGTAATGACTAATGACTTGGGAATAATTTATCAGACTAGTTTGTAAGTAAAACAACTTAATTGGACCGAATACACCACCATTCAATATGTATTTATTTATATTTAACAAAATTTATATTAATACATTAATTTCATTAAAAATTTAAAATTATTTATCTAATTTAACTCACCATCTTAAATTTAAATCTTAGAAAATATATTTGTATTAAATATTTAATTTTTTATGATTTATAAAATCCTACTCAACTTAAAACGACAACACCCGACTAGGATTACGCACTCTTAGTGTGAGTCATATCCATGATGTTGGTGGCTGTCACCAATGTTCACCGACATTTCCATGTATTTGTAGCGTGTAATAATTAATATATCTTGAATTTATCATTTATTTTTTATAATAAAAATAAAAAAAATTTATTTTTTATAAAAAAAACTGAAAAGAGTAGGTAAATAGAATGAAAATTTATCATGACTCGAATACTTATACTGTATTATCTACTGTAATATTCAAAAAGTAAATATGAAGTAAACTGTGTAAAAAATATAACTTTAACTGCGTCCTTTGTTTATTTTAAATAATTAAAATAAACAGCATAATATTAAAATTATAATCCAAAAAAGTTATACTCTATAATAGTCAGAACATATATCATCTAACATTTCATAATAAATTAACAGTTTCATTTTATTATATCCGCCTATATGTTATTAGGATTTTATAAATCAAATGAATATTGGAGAAATTATTCAAAATTAATAAATATCAAAATAAAAAACAACTTTCAACTAATAACTAAAAACTAATATTTTTAAAACATTAATTACAATTAGTTTATTACATAATTTTTTTATTCAAAAAATATTTTTAATTAACAAAATAAATAACTTTTCGACCAGCTAAAGTTGTAGATATTTCTCAAACGGATTGAAAAAGATTGATACCCACCGTAAAGTCCAAGCAAAAAGGTTCGTGTTTTCAGGTTGTTCTTAATTGGGTCTCACACGTTATTTAACTAAGGGATAAATAAAAAAATTCCACATTCCCAATTAATTAAGGAGTTTGGATGTAAAGTTTAAAAATGAAAGAAATAACATTTCTAGTTAATGCCAACTTCCAACTTTAGGAAATTTAATGAAAATTACTCAATTACTTAGTATAGCATATAACAGTTACATTTATATATACAGTAATTTATATAATTTTTACTTTACTTTTTATTTTTTATTATATCATGTTATTTAATATATTTTTGTATTATTTTCTCTTCTATCTACCTCGTACACCCAAAAATAGTGTATGATTAACTTTTTTTCTATAAAATACGGTGTGAATCATGTATTGACGTTGTTTGCTTCTTTTAAATTTTTTTCTTTTAACATGAAAAATGAATAGTAAGGTAAAATAAATAATTTCAATTTATGATTTAAGAGAAAAAAATCTTTTATTTCTTCCTTCTGCCCCAGTTTTAGTATCAACTCTTAATATAATTTGAAATTTAATAGAAAACGTTATACTAAGAGATAATTTTAACAACAAATTTTGTTTATCAGAAACTGACAATTTTTTTTAATGAATCTTGAATGGAAAAAAAGAGTGCATCAATTAAACATGCAATAAGTAGAATAAAAAGAAAAAAATCATAATTTTTTTTTTTTAAAAGTATATATGTTAAAAAAAATAATGAGCATAGTGTGAAAATTGGAATAATTGGGGGCATGTGGGTGTAGTTGCCTAACTGAGAAAGGAAGAAAGTGGGTACTTAAAATTTAAAAGGCAAAAAAAAGGTAATAATAATGGCAGAAAAAGGTTGGCATTGGACTTATTCACTTGCCACCAAATGTCACGGCGCTATCAACATAACACGACAAATGGGGCCTTTTCTCTCTAATAGACACACCCATCCACCATTTCTTTTTTCCTTTTCTTTTCTCACCAACCAATCAACCATACGTGATGCTCAATCATCGCCTATTTTATTATCTTATATTATGATTTCATGTAATCTATCTTATTTTATTCATCATTTTTTTAATGCACAATGTACGATGATTTTAAATATAAAACGTTAGGTATGGTATTCATATATATATATATATATATATATATATATATATATATATATATTCTTAAGCTTTTTATATGCTCGTAGAAGTATGCTGTAATAACTTTAATATTGTGGTTTCATGATTATCTTGTACCATACCACTCATAAAATATGATATTTAAATTCAAAAGGTTTGGCAAGAACCCCACTATGTTAACTTTCAAATATGTTGTCTCTTTTAATTAAAATTGATTCATGTCTAAATTCAAAATTTAACTAAACAATAATATTTAAGAAAAGTAAAAAATTAATATGCTTAATATATATGAGATAATTGTTGCATGATTTAGTTCAAAATAACTTCTCTTAAGACAGTAATTAATAGGACATGTACATATGCTATGTGGAAAGAAAGAATACACATGATGCAAGCAAAATTGAATTACTTTTACACTTCTATTTAAAAGTATGTGCTATAAAAGTTAAGAATTGAACAGTGAGCTACTAGTAATTAAGAACTCTGAGGAAAAAAAAAAATATCAAAATACAAGGTATGAAAGTTTGAATTTTCTTATTTCAGTGGGTAGCCTAATACAATCAGTACCTCCGCAGCAATATCCAACACTATTCCTGATAAATGTCAAACCCAATAAATGATTCCAACTATCCAAGAATTTGGTGATAAATTGACTGCTACAAAAAATTTAAAAAGGTTTTTAATTAAAAAAAATCAATTTTGATGCATTTTTAATATAAAATTTATATTATTAATTAATTAAAATACACAATAAATATAATTTAAATTGATTATCATAAAAATTACTAAATTTGTTGATATAATAATAATTTTAAAATATTTCTAATTAAATTCTTATAAAAAAAGTGCAAAAAGATCTTAAAAAATTAAAGTTATTTTTTTTATAATTCTATAATAGTTACATCATGGTTTTTTTTTTAATATATTTATTATATATCTAAAGGAAATGTAAGATTGGTGCGGGTTTAGATTATGACAGGCCAGATTTTTAATGAGGGCGTTTTATTTAATTGATCACAATTTTTGGATGCTAATATTACATTTTCTCAATCCCCGCATGGGACAAATAAAGTGGCTTCACTGCAATTCATTCTCAAGTTATCACAGTACTATTTCAATGGTTAAAATTGTATTTATCTTTTATTATATAGTATTATAAATTTCATTCAATTTGTCTTTGTTGTTGTTACGTGTTTATTACTAGATTAAGGTGGTACTATGTAAGAACATTTCCTCAATCAATTATTTAATTATACAGTATGTGTTTCTGTTAATTGACACCGAAACAACATAAAACTAGGCAATCATAATAGAATTTAAAAAGTTAGACATGATTTTTTTAAATATTCAGATTGAACCAAGAATAGATCTTCTCTATTAAATTTCTAAATGACTTAATTATGAAGAAAATTTGCTTTTATCTTTGTTTTATATAAATATTCATAAATTTTTAAAAAACACAGCCTATTTAATGATATTATAAAGAGATAAATGGATATAATAATTCATGTAAATTTTCAATATAAACGATAGAATATTTATTTTGGTTAAAAGCTTACTTTTGTGTTAGATTTCAACTTATTTGATGATTATAAACGGAGAAATACATATAAAATATTCACACGGTAAATTCTGTAAAATTTCAATATAGGATGATTTATTTCCAATTAAACCTTACATTTGAGTTAGATTTGAACTTATCATAAAATCCTTTTAAATTAGATTAATGTTTAATGCAAACATGACAATATTTAATTATAAACACATTGTGGATTTTTTCTTATTTCTTAAATATAAATATTAAAGGCATTAGTTAAGAAATTCAAACATAAAAATTATTATTAATATACTTTTTTACATGATTGATTGTTTTTTAAAAAAGTCAATATAGTTTTAAAAGGTAATTAATTTATCAGATAAATATTTTAAATTTTTTTAAAAATTACTAATTATAAAAACTGCCTTAAAGAATATATTAGAAAAACAAATTTCTAATATTTGAGGTTATGGCATTCTACTGGAGCTGCATAATATTGCATCCTCACTAAAATCTTTCAATGTTTTTTTGACAAAGGAAAAAAAAAAACATTTCTCTTGTTGTATGGCTATAAATAAGGGCCAGATCAAAGGAAAAGGCAACATTAAAAGCCACACATTCTGCAGTAGTTAGCTCTTTCTCACAGTGGTTTTGTGCCATTAATTTTGCTTGTTATGGAACCCAACGTTAACCCAAATATGTTGTTAGGACAAAAGTGGCTTCCAAGTGCTTTGAATGCCACAAGCCAAGGATTAGGCACTGAAACTATAGTCTTTGCTCATGGCTATGGAACAGACCAATCAATATGGTATAAGATCATTCCCTTCTTTGCTCAAAGTGAAAACTACCGAGTTGTTCTGTTTGATTGGCCCTTTTCTGGGGCTGTGAATGATCCAAACCTTTATGACCCTTTGAAGTACTCTTCCTTGGAAGCTTATGCTGATGAGTTGGTGACCCTTTTGGATCAGATGGACCTCAAAGATGTCACCTTTGTTGGCCATTCCATGTCTGGTATGATTGGTTGCTTAGCCTCCATTCAAAGGCCTGAACTCTTTAAGAGGCTTGTTCTCGTTTGTGCTTCTCCAAGGTACTCTTTGCTTTTTTTCTCTCATGTTTCTTTCTCTTCTTCAAAGCTTGTAATACATCCTTTGCTTATTATGATTGTTGCTTTTGGATACTTCATTTAGTATTTAGTTTGAGGAAAATAGAATGAAACTATGAAAGGAGATAAAGGGTTTTTACCAATATCTTATTTGGCCTAAAATTTTGGAAAAAAATGAGAGGAATAATATGTTTTCTTGCTCAAGTCTGATTTCCCAAAGATCTAAAGATAGAAGAATTATTTTTAATTTGATAATTTCATTTGACTATCATAAATATAAAATAGTAACATTATTTGTTTTCTCTTATCTTCTCGTGTGAATCAAATAAACTCTCCTTCTTTTCTTCTTTAAACTAAATAAGGCATAAGAAATTGATTAGTGCTTTTATTTTTTTAATTTAAATTTAAAAACTTGAGTTGATTTTTGGGCTAACTGGAAATCCTTGAGTCAGCTGTTGAAAAGCAGTAACTCCATTGCGTTACTCATTGCTAATTCCAACTCATGCACTGTATTAGTTCGAGTTCTTTTCTTTTATATCATCCTCCTATCTTATGCTTTCTTTCTTTTTGGAGAATAACAAGCATTAATTAATAAATTAAAAGTAAAAATATATTATTTTATTTTATTAATATATATTTCACATGATTTTTATTAAAAAATATTTATTTATTAACCGATAATTTTAAGACACTTTTTAATAATTTTTATTTTTTAATTGTACCAATAAGTATTTTAAAAATATTAACTCAAAAAATATTGAATACATATTATTAAATAATTTAAATTGCTTTATTTTTTCTGTTTCTTTACTAATACTCTTACTATTGCCTTACAATTTTACCAATTTCTTTTATTTTCCCCCTCTAATATGCATGTATTGTCCTTTCCTCACATTGTCACTGGTATTTTATTAGTTGTCTCGCTGATCCCATCATCTATATATTGTTTGAGTTTGCCTTGGGTTATACGTTAATTTTTTATTTTTTTACTTTGACACTTTCTATTTGAGCATTTCCCTATAGAAATTGGAATAATTTTTATCCCCAAAATTCTGCCATGGACCCCAGTCACTAGGAATATATAATATATAGTTGTAATGGAAAAGGAACAAATAAGTAATCAACACCATTCCACCATGCAACACACCTAACAGACTGGGCCACTCGCAATTTTTGACTGTGTAGAAGATAAGGATACATCATATCCCAAATAAGCAATATTTTTTTCTCTATTGAAATGAATCAATGAGTTAAAGAAAATTTTTAAAAAAAGATGAACCAACCAAAACATGTGGTCTCAACGGGATTGGGGGAGGGAGACCAATTTTTATTTGTATTTTTGTGGTAACCTTTTTAAGCGTGGTGGGTTTGATGCACCCAATGTTTTCATCCATAAAAAATCTTAAGTCTTAACTAACAAAAGAAAACAAAACTTCACTTTCCATTCCCACTTTGCTGACTTCAATTATCTCGGCACATACTTTTGATAAAGTATGATTTGGAAGATTGCTTGTTAGCTCCTTTCGAAATTTGAACCACCATTTAGCCGGCCAAGTCAGAGTTCCATTTAGAAATCAACACATATTCCATTAGCAAATTAATAATTCTTGGATTGCTGTTGATTTAGATTAAAGTTTTATATATATATATATATATATATATATATATATATATAAACTTGAATGTTTGGTTGTTTCAAATTTCAATATAATTAATTTGATAGGTTAATTTTGAATTATTAAATTTAATAAAGATGTATGTGTAAGAAGTTCATTTTCCCCCTTGACTAAACGGGCCTCAACTCATTTTAAACTAATAATGCATGTGTTTATAACTTTTCACTTTATATTTTTTTATTTTAAAAAAAGTTAAATCCATAATTCTTACATTCCAAGATATTTTTGTTGATTTTGAATTTTAAGGCATTGGTTGTAGTTATTGTGATATCAGTTGTTGCTGGATGGGCTTGCACCAAACTAAGATTTGTGCATATTAATTAAATCACTCACTTTTAACCTATTTTTAATTTCATTTGAATGATTCTACCAAAGCAAACACCTTTATCTTAGGATTTTTAGTAGGAGTTATATTATTTATATAATATTTTTATAAAATACTTCCAACTTTTTTTTCTCTATTGTACAAAGAAACAAAATAATATTTCTCTTTAAATAACTATGTAAAAAAAAAAAACCATATATATATATATACAAACTCAACCTAAGATCTCTATCTTACTATTTTTCCATCTTAATTCTCAAAAAGGAAAAAAAAATACTAAGATTTATGCCTCTAACTTCTTGCCATATGATACAGGTATATTAATATAGAAGACTACGAGGGGGGCTTTACAAGCTCAGACATTGAGCAGTTATTGAAGGACATTGAGTCCAACTTTGAAAACTGGGTTTCTGCCTTCTCCTTACTAGCAGTGGATCCAAATGATGAGCCATCTGTGAACAAATTCAGAGAGTGCTTGAAAAGAATGAGAGGTGATGTTCCAGCACCCTTAGCCAAGATTGTGTTCAATAGTGACTACAGAGATATACTTGAGAAAGTTGAAACTCCATGCACTATCATTCAGACTTCTAGTGACATGGTTGTTCCACATAGTGCAGCTCTTTACATGGAGAAGAAAATTAAAGGGAAAGCTACATTGGAGATGGTAGACACTAAAGGGCATTTTCCTCAGCTAACTGCACACCTTCAACTAGTTAATGTGCTTATGGGTGTTCTGGGCTTTGGCCTCACTCAAATTTAGATGTGCCTTAGCTTATTTGGGTAGTAATTCTCAATTTCATTCCTTTTTGTCACCTTAGTTGTACCCCTTTCTGATTTAATATATAGATTGATGAATTAGTGTTGATTAGTTTCGTGCAAGTGTACTTTTCGTATCTCTTCTCTTGTGCACGCTCCAAGTAAAGTGGGGGCAGTGAATCCTGATTTTTTCAACTTTATGTTGACAATGATCTTATCCATTTGATAGATTTCATCTTCAACATGATTTGGACCGCACTATCTGTTTTTTTTAAATCGTTGTAACTTTAAAAAACAAACCGCCGCAATTTTGACTGCATAAAATCTAAAGTGTCAGATTTAGCATGGAAAAATTCTTTGAACACAGTTGTTATTTAATGTTTCAATTGTCCTTTCACACTAGCCCTTGAAAAATGAAAGTACAAAACAAGTATCCAAATTGAAGACGATATCACTGGAAAAGTAAAATCCATGAGAATGATATAGTACTGAATTAACTATTATGGAGTTTTACCGACAAATACAAAGGATAACAATAAGAAACATAAAAACAGATTAATGCTTGGTACGGTGAATAGTCATGATGCTTTCTGTGTTAGGAGCAATCTCCTATTCTTAAGCTTCGTAAGAGATCCAAATATCCTTGATGTTCAGGACTGATGTATCTGCAATATCAAAAATATCTTTAGAATAATCATTTAAGACAACAAACAAGGGCAAAAGAACTTGCTTTTTTATACAGTATTATTGCAATATATTGTGTTCCCAATATATATTCATAAAGCCTGGCTGGAAATTCCAACTCCATTGTGTATAGAACAATGACCAAAAGTTTTACATACAAATACCATACGGTTCCCAGAATAGAACAATGACTACATTACCTTTGCATTTTATATGCACGTTGATATAGAGTAGCTTTTAAACTTCAATTTTTTCCTTCCATTTAATTATTTACATTAACATACACGGAAAAAGGTACAGAAAAATATAGGCAAGGAAAGAAATACCCATGGCGAAACAGGAAGTCAATGATCACCAGAGAGCAATTCGGCTTGAAAAACTGGGTCTTGCGTATAACTTCTGCAACTTGCGTAATAGGGATCAGCTTGAAGCTATCAACTTCTCCATCTGATATTTATTGAGCCAGTTATCACAAGGAGTGATCATGGCACCAATGGAACATAACAGTAAGATTCAAGAACCTGTAAGGCTTACCTTCATTTTTAGGTATGAAACTTTTCGGAAGTTTTAAATCATAACAGAATAGAACATCTCTCTTATATCTATCCCCATCAATGTCCATATATGAAACAGCACTGACAGGTATCGCTCTGTAAGAAAAACAATTAACAGAATTAGACACAGAAAGAAAGAGTACTACTTATTTGGATTTTGTCATTTGGCTTATGCTTGGAAAAGAATGGTCTAGTAGTCACTCCTAATAGGCATGTCAAGCATAGACACAATACGAAATTCAGTTAGCTCGCCAATCGAATTTCATACACTAGAGGAGGGAAAGAGGAAGGATGAAATGAGTTGGTTGGGAACTTACTGTATAGAGATGGACTTGGGTATTCCTGCTTCCTCTTCACATTCCTTTATAAGATTCTCCTGACAATCAATACCATGCGGCTGTGACAATAGCAGTTAACTCAGAAACTCAATAATATTACATTGAGCTAGAGGAAATATTTAACGGTAAATTCATCATAATAGCCACTATTGATTTTCTTATTTGATGGGTGCATATTAATAACACTGTCCAGTTCCTGACCAGAGGCAAAATGATTTATACACAAGGTAATAGTGATCTTGAGGAGAAATGTTTAAACATTGAGAGGCTCAGAACAGAACTACAAACCAGTCCTCCAGCAACTAGATGATCAAGCATTCCAGGATATGTAGGTTTCATGTCACTTCTCTTCCCTATCCATAGGTGCTTCTGCCCATCCAGTTCAACATAGCCACACATATGGACTCCATAGACCTAATCTTTGAAGACAAATAATAGATAAAAGATGTTATAGCCAACAAGAGCTTTGGGATATTAAAAAACAGGTTAAAGATGAAAAATTAGAAACAGCAAATTTGTTTGAAGAGAAGTGACACAAATTGTAAATAATAGAAACTGGACTACCAATTTGAAATCATGTTATAACACATATTATGCGTTCATACCAAATTAGTTTGAAAACAGGCACCTTAAGAGCTAGTTCTGCTTTTAAGATAATATCGCTTTGTCATTCAATTCTTCCTAAATGATGCCAACATTAAGATTGCAAATTGGTAACATTCAATTCCACAAAATTAATGCAGGTTCAATATTCAACTTCAATTTGACAACGAATAATGTTCAATTGATTCATCTAACAATTTTAATCATGAAATTGATTTGGCAGAATTAGTCCACAAACAACATGAATGAGGGGAAATGGATTTTCTCCCAAAAATATAAATTGTGGCTACATATGCTTTTGATGATTAGAAAAGAAACAGTCAAAACTATGATGTCAGCATAACACCTGCTACAGAATTCATGGTGTAACAGGTGAATATACAACTTTAAACATTTGTACTAACTACAAAATATTTAGAAAGCAGGTTTGGTAATCAAGTCCCGAAAGATATTCCCATGTACCTTTATGCCAAAATAAGGAGCTGCAGCACGTTCTAATGAAAAGAAAATTGGTGCCCCAAATGACGATGTCACAGGGTAAAGCTAGTAAAAATGGACAAACATATGTTAGTTACTTAGGCATTAGAAAAGCATAGAAGAATAGCGAAATTTATCACATTCAATAGTTATCATGATTAATACCTCATTTCGTATACCTGGAACATGCTCCTCTCCCAAACTCTCTATTACATATCCAACGGCATTGGTTCTTTCCTCTGCTGTCTTCAGCATTGGATGCAATGAAACACAGTCACCATAGGAGCCTCCATTGTATTTATCTTTGGGAAAAATAAACACATCACCAAATCCCCTCAAATGCTCCACAAACCTGTAACACATTTGACATTTAGCAAAAAAAGCTTCACTACCACATGCTTAGGTGCAAATGCTGCAGTTCATTTCATCAATCATCATAATAAATAAGATAAGGTAAAGAATTTATTCAGCTAGAATCCAACAATGAAACATTCACTAATAATAACCAAGCATGAGATTACACATGTTACAATAGAAAGATAGAATTGAAGTAAATTTTACCCATTGTGAATGAATCCGATAATGTTGTCCTCAATGACAAATGGTAGGAATTCAGATTGTTTCTCCTGTAAGCAATTTCAATGTCAATAACACAAGTGTACCGTACAATTTAAAATGAGAAAGACCCAAATTCTAAAAATCATAAAAATAAAAACGTTACTGAAAGGGAGAAGGAAAAAAATGCACAAACGCACAATTGGGTGTCTCAATTTACAGTTCCACAGAAAAAGGGCAAGGTACTACTAACTTTGCTTTGTGTTTTGTTTTGAAACAAAAGGGAAAAGTAGCAGTGATAAGAACTTACAGAACCACGATTGCATAGATGGACTTTGTGGAAGTATCCTTGGAGATAACGAGAGTGATCCTCTGTTTGAGATTCAGATACGCGAAAAACATCGTCCCACGTGAACGTTGCTGACGCAGAAGCAGAAGAAGAGACAAAGCAGCGTTTGGTGGGTAAAAATGTGAAGGGAAAAGGGTAAGAGGGAGGGGCGAAGGGTCGTGACCTCAAAGACAATGTACCAAACTTGCATAGGCAGCAAGCCATTCCCATCACTCTGCTTTCCTCTTTCTCCACCTCACATATATATATATATATATATATATTTGTAATTTTTAATTAAAATTTTATTTTATTAATTTATGATAAAATTAAATGTTTATTTCGTATTTGAAAAACAATTTTAATTAAAAAATAGTATAAAAAATTATACCAAAATTTTGTTAGATGCAATAGAAATTTGATATTCTTATGTTATTATTATCCAATGTGCTCCTTTTATTGAGCTTTTCTTTTCTTTTAATGTTTTTTAAGTCGAAGATCACAGGGAATTCTCCCCTCAAAGGATTCGAAATTAATCTCTGCTAGGGATTTATGACAATCATTTGCTTGATAAAATTTTGCACATTATGAAGTTAGACAACTGAGTTGTGTTTATATACTTTATTGTTTTCCTGTTTTCATTGATTCTTTGTATATTAAACCGTGGCAATAGTACAGGTTAGCTTGTTGATTAACTTGTCTGTGAATGGTTGAGAAGAAAATGACAGGGAACACTTCGTCTCCTTTTTTAGTTGGGAATTGGACAAGTGAGAACAGTCAATTAACACGATGGCTTGAGATTGTTGGGGTTAATAAAAATGTTATGTAAAATGATCCATGTCTTTTTCGAACCACTTTCATAGAAGTAACCATATGCAAGTCCTCTAACTAAAAAATTTATTGAATCAAGGCTTTTAAACTTTAAACGTTTGTATTTGGCAATTGACAGAAGACATTAAAACCACCAAACTATATTAGGATATTTTATTTTTGATTCGTATTTAAAATTATTCTTGTAGTTGTCCTTCAAACATGTATTTAGGGAGACTACTTGTCCAAAATTAATATACCAGGATTTAATTGTGAAACTTAGTAATGCAGATCCAAGTTTTATAAGCAACCAAATAGTTACTTCTTCATTCTTTCTTTTCTTTGCTATATATATATATATATATACACGGAGAATAATATTATTATATTAATATAAATTTAAAAAATTTTACATTTAATCTAAACTTTTTATTTAATTTAAATTTAACGGTAAGTAAAATAATAAATTATATCTCATTAGATTTAAGTTAAATAAAAAAATCATACCTCTTTTTCTCTCTCTATATATATATAAATCAATGTTTTCCTTTGAGATAAAGGATTTAATGTGCAATTTATATTTCTTATAACCATTTTTACTACATTTACTCTTTGGAAGTTACAAGCTTAAAAACTTGATGATATATACTTTGTTCACTACAACTGCTCTTCAACTTCAGCGAAATCGAAGACAATTTAAAGACAGTGAGACTACTTGTCTAAAATTAGTTGCTTGACAATACATTGTGAAGCTTAGTGATATAGATAAGAGTTATATAAACAATGAAAAGATGCTTACACTTTATTCTCACAATCGCTTGCTATCCTATGTAAAATTTGAATGTACTTCCTTTGAATAAAAGATTTAATGCGAACACTTCTAGTAATTATTACTACTTTATTTGCTCTTGCATTGTTAGAGACCTTAAAACGATGACGTATATTTTATTATAACCACAATTACTCCTCAAAGTTAAAGAGTATAAAGTTTGACGAAACACATTTTTTAAGTATGTCATTCATGAACGCAGGAAAACCAGTTGAAAAAAAGCCAAACTACTTTAAAATTAACCATCCAACATTACATTGCAAAGTTTAATGGCAAAGATAAAAGTTATGTAACCAATCAAAGAGTACTTCCAATTTTTCACTTTTATTCTTGTTTGCTACATCTTCAAAATTTATTTATTTTTTCTTTGAGATAAAATATTTAATGTACAAATGTGTGCCTGTAATAACTATTATTACTACATTAATTCTTGCAACTGTTTGCAGCTGGAAACTTGACTGTGACTCAGTTTGACTAAACTTGTGAACAAATCTTCATTAAAAAAATTTTAAAGAACAAATAATTGTTTTATAAATTAAATTATTTTCTTAAATTTTAAAGAATTAAATAAGAGAATTTCTAAAAACTAGAGAATCATAAGTTAAGAGAAATTTAATTCAATTTATTACTTAATTTGACTCTATAAATATTTATTAAAATGTTTATCTGAACTTCTCCGCATATTTTTTTTATTACTAACATTACTTCTTCCGTGTTGGAGGTTTGATCTTGTCATGAATAAAAATATATAAAATATCATAATATGAGAAACACCTGGTTTAGCCAAACAATGTTCCACTAAGTTGGATTCCCATGGGCTTATAGACTAAGGATATCAAGTGCATGATCATGAATGTTTTTATTCTAAAGATATCAACTGCAAAATTATGCATAATCAAGTGTCGAACATTTGAAGGTTGCGAAGCATTCACAAAGGATCGGCAACAACAGCAAAATAAGAAAAGCAAAAACGCCAAGTTTGCATTGTCTCTAATCACACCCCAACCCCCATCCATATTCAGTTTGACAGTACACAAAATTCATTGGTTTATCTAACTGAACTTACATTGGTTTATTAACTAAATTAAACTAACGGTTATGACAAAGCCAAAGCAACTCTATTTCCATCTTATTGTAATATAATCTTCAAATTCCAACAGGAAAAATTGATTATCTTCATTTTTCATATTCCTCTGCAATGTATCTCTTTTTCACAGTTCCATCAAATTGGGTTAATAGCCTTGGACTCCCTTATCAGTAGATGTAAACCACCAAACCACTATTGTATAAAGGGAAAATAATGTAACATGCAAATCAAGTAGAAGCTACAGCTAATCATAATTTTCTCGAATTTTCTCATGAATCAAACTTTGAAAAGAAAAACACTAAATCTAAAAGAGAAAAACAAGGGGAGAAACGCTTGAAAATGAAAAGCAAGTTCAAAACTTTGAGGATTCGTCAAACTCGTTAAATCTGTCTTGCTTCTTCCTCATCAATTCAGCCTCATAATCTCTCAACCTTTCATTCATTTTCTCCTGCATTCAACCCAAATACAGAAGTAACAATCTTTGAAGAGAAAAAGAAAAAGGGTTTCAGATTATGGCCATAAATTTGCAATTGAGAAGAGAATGATGGTATGCGAACCTTGTAATTGGTTTCAACACGGTGCATAACATAGAATCCGAGGATGCCTCCTAGGATTGTGCCAGTTATGATCCGAATGTAACCCCATTTCTGAGAACCAGTCCTCATCATCAATGTTTCTCTTCCTCTCTTGATTCTCTTCGATTTTTATTTTTGTTTACAGGGTTTAAATTGAAAGACCCCAAGTCCAAAGCTCTGTTCAGGGGCCCAAGACCAACAGAGCCCAGTTTGCTTAAAGAACATGGGCCTGGAACAGCAGAAAGCCCAAAACCCTAACAAATGAAACACCAGGGAAGGTGAAAACATATGGGAGATTACTTTTTTTCACCACCTTTTTTTCTATTTACACTATTTTTTAGTTTGATTTTTAAAATTTTAAATTTACAAAGTGTATTGAATATCTTCTATAAATTAAATTTTGAAAGTCATTTACAATTTATTTTAGAAATAAAATTTTAAAAGTAATTTTGTAATTTTAGAAACTAAATTTTGGAAGTTATTTGTAAATCATTCAGAAAATTAAATTTTATAAATATTTTATATCTTTCGAATAGTAAATTTTTAAAGTTTACTTCTACAAGTTTTTTTTTTCTATTCTACAAGTTAACCACTCATTTTGAAAATGTTACTTCTACAAACTAGAAACAAAAAATGAAATTAAAAATAAAAATTAATTTAAATATTTTGATTTTGTGATAAATCATGCAATATGTAAATGTATAGATGAGTAGTCATCAACTTCAATTACTCGTGTAATGTTAGAAGCTTGAAATCTTAATGATTCATATTTATTATCACTAATTATTTCTTTAGATTTAAAAGTTAAAAAGTACGATAGTATATAATATGTGACATTCATAAATAGAAATATCAAAAAATGATTCAAAAAGAGTGAGATGTGTAGTTATTACTACCATTACTTTTTTAGATTTATGGGTTGAAAAGTCTAATAATACATAATATGTAACCTTCATAAATGGAAACAATAAAAAATGATCCAAAGAGAGTGGAATATGTGATTGTTATCACTAGTTATTCCTTTAGATTTAGGGGTTAAAAAGTCTCTGATGATACATTCATGAACAGAAACAATAAAAAACGATTCAAAAAGAGTGAGATGTGTCGAAAACTACTCGATACTTTATTGTAAAATTCACTAAACTACTTTGTTTTCACTCTCTCATTTATTGCATTTCTAGTACTTTTCTATATTTTCATTTATTTCTTTAAATCATTTTGTTTTATATAATATTTTAATTTTAGAAAAATCAATGACAACTAAGAAGTAGTTAAATATAATAGTAAGTGTCAACTTAACTTTGAGACTCTACTAGTTCACTATTATTTTAAAATATTTTTAAAATTCTTTTTATTTTGCTAATCATAACTTTTTATTAATTTACACGGACTATACTTATGTTATTTTATGTAGTTAAACTTATTACGTTCAATAATAATATCTCACAATGAATGACTAGTAGTCATGCAAATTAAAAATATTAGTCTAAGTATATTTATGTAAGTGTGTCTTTGTTGTGGTTGGTAAATAACTTTGTTTTCTTCCTTTTGTAAGGAAATAATGAATCTTCAACGTTATACAGTCTCATCTCTAATTATAGAAATGGTCAATTTACTATTTTATTGTGGCATTAATTGTTGTTTTTACACCTTCTCTATTCTTATTAATATAGCTCGTTGCATCTTTTATTATATGTCATAAAGCTTCACCTTCAATTACTTTGTATTGCTTAATTGCCTAGAACAATATTACTGAAAATAACTTTAACTATTGTGACAAAACCTATCAAAAGATACATTTTATTTTATTTTTCTCTTTCTTTTTATTCATTTTATATTAGTTATCAAATAATTATAAGTATGCAGTATTACTTATAGTAACTACTTGGCTATGCAGTACCACTTTATATCATTTATCAAATATCTCTTCACTTCAATTCTT